TTGTTATTCCTAATGTAAGATATTTAAGACCAGAGACACATTCCTCACAACACTTGTGCTAATATCAGTCAAGTGTACATTGTCTCATATTAATGTCCCATCTTTAATCTCGTGCAGTTCCCATCCTTCATCCATTCCCAGAAGCGCAATCCCCAAACCCACATGAAAGACCCTGACATGGTGTGGGACTTCTGGAGTTTGAGGCCCGAGAGTCTGCATCAGGTAGATGCTGCTGAGCCTGATACTGAAAAGTCTAGTGTATTATGTCCTGTCAGCTGAGGTGTTTCTAAAATACACATTTAGGATAAAGAATATTTTCAAGTAAGTAAGTCTTTCTGTGCACTGTTGCTCGCTGTCTTTATACTTGTAGTCATCATTGACAGAAACTCTTGTAGTTGTTTTCATGGTCTCGTCTTGTCTCCTGTGCAGGTGTCTTTCTTGTTCAGCGATCGAGGTTTGCCTGATGGCCACCGTCACATGAATGGCTACGGCTCTCACACCTTCAAACTGGTCAATGCCGATGGTGAACGTGTCTACTGCAAATTCCACTATAAGGTCTGCCTGAGGTCAGCTTTATTAGCTGTTATGTTGTGTGTTCTGCCATCTCTGACTTCATTTTTTTTAAATTAATTTTTTAGACTGATCAAGGAATAAAGAATTTGACGGTGGAAGAGGCAGACCGCCTGGCAGCCACCAACCCAGATTATGGAATTGCAGACCTGTTCAATGCTATTGCTAATGGAAACTACCCATCCTGGACCTTTTACATCCAGGTCATGACCTTTGAGCAGGCTGAAAAGTTCCGGTTCAACCCGTTTGATCTTACAAAGGTACCGCAGTTCTGCACAACAGAAAACATCCGAGTTATAAAGTAATACGTGACATAAATGTGCAGTGACTTGGTAACTTGTTTTCCAAAAACGTCCATATTATCACAGGATGTCTCTAAATAATGACGTGCTCATTTGAAAATCACAGATGACTTTTGTGATTTGTAAATTTTATTCGCGGTGCAGGTTTGGTCACATAAAGAATACCCACTGATCCCTGTGGGCAAACTGGTTCTGAACAGGAACCCAGTCAACTACTTTGCAGAGGTGGAGCAGGCGGCCTTTGACCCAAGCAACATGCCACCAGGCATCGAGCCCAGCCCTGACAAGATGCTGCAGGTGACATTATGGCAGATTTGACAAGCTGGGGGGAATGAAGAAAAGCTAGGTTGGTATTGAGCTCTGTCCTCCATGTTCTTTGTCTAGGGTCGCCTCTTCTCCTACCCAGACACGCATCGTCACCGGCTGGGAGCAAACTACCTGCAGATCCCTGTCAACTGCCCCTTCAGGGCTCGTGTGGCCAACTACCAGCGTGATGGTCCGATGTGCATGCATGACAACCAAGGTGAGACGTGATCAGGTCTGGTACCTGTGGCTCAGAAATGAATCTTGAGTAATCCTGGACTTTTAATCCAGGTAGTGTTACAGTTTATTTATACTGAGTTCTTAACCGTTATTTTTAACTGTTATTATACACGTGACATATACACAAGTGCAAATCACCTTTGAAGCAGACGATCAGTGATGGTGTTTTAAAAAATCTTAGTGATCCAAAAACACCCTTATTATATAAAATAATTAGAAATAATTTTATAACATGGGCATTACATGCATAACCACAGTCATCTACATTGTGCACAAAATGTAAAAACTAGCAATAAAACATTAATTTTATCGCTACATTTCATGCATTGTACAGTGGTAGATGTGTGAATAACGTATGTCATCACTATAGTCACTGATTATGGTTTTCCACAAACATCTGGTCTTTGTTCATTTTTTTCTTTCTTTCCTTCACTGCCTCACCAGTGTTTTTGTTTGACCACCAGGTGGCGCTCCAAACTACTACCCTAACAGCTTCAGTGCCCCAGAGACTCAGCCTCAGTTTATGGAGTCCAAGTTCCAAGTGTCTGCAGATGTTGCTCGTTACAACAGCTCAGATGAAGACAATGTCACACAGGTAATGATGATTTAACAGGATCTGTAGGCGTGTGACACAGAGTGTCTGAGGCCCAGGCAATTTCAGATTTGATAATATTAAAAAGCTGCATAAATCTGTATTTAATATGAAAAGTGGATCGAATGATAAGATGAAATTGTTGCTCATTTTTTAAAGGGTAATGGAAATATGTAGATTTAGTTTTAGTGGCTTTTTCTTCCTGTTACTGCACTCTGGTTTCTGGTTTCTTTGGCCTCATCTTGAAGGAACGCAACCGTAGCTAAGGCCACTTCTTATTAGTAACAAACGGTAGCTGTATGTCATAAGATGTTGTTTAAGAACTTGGAAATCCAGTTAAGGACTGAGTCAAAATCTGTTTCTGATTAGTTCCTTTTTCCTCTGGAGAATAAACCTGTGTGTTTTTTGCAGGTTCGCACCTTCTACACTCAGGTCCTGAATGAAGAGGAGCGACAGAGACTTTGCCAGAACATGGCAGGGTCCCTGAAAGGAGCCCAGCTCTTCATCCAGAAACGCATGGTGAGTCCAAGCACTACAGTCTCTCACTTTGCTGTCGCTCATAGTTTGTGCTTTTTGGAATGTGAGGTTTCAGGAAAGATGTTGTGCTTATTGGTAAATGTAATCTATTTACAGTATGTAATCTGTTTATTTTTTTTCATGGGGAGACGAAGAAGATGTGTGTTTTGTTTGTTGAAGAACCTGCTGTCCTCCAGGACTGTAATGTTTTTCTTGGGTATCTTGCAGGTCGAGAATTTGAAGGCTGCCCATCCAGACTATGGAAACAGAGTTGAGACTCTTCTCAAGAAGTACAATGCGGAGGCCAAGAAGGTAAATGGGCCTTGTCTAGTTGTGTGTTTATATACAGCATACATCCAGTGCAAGTTGTAATTTCATTCATTAGCCACACTGGTTCACAGTTAAATATCTTTAGAGACTTTCCCAAAAGTCTTTTTTTCTTTTTCTTTTTTCTTTAGAAAGGAGCATTTAACAATCGATAAGACTTTCATTAGATGATACAGATAATCAAAGGATGTCTGACCTTAAAGTAAGAGGACATGGTGATGTGACAATAAAAGTGATTTGATGAAACTGAGGTGTTAGATAAGAAGAAACATGTGGATGGATTTTTATCTGGTGTCAAAGTACTTATCGTAGTACATTGTAATTACAGTAATATTCTGCCCATTAAAGTGTCTGACCTCATTTTTGAGTTTCTCTTCTTCAATTTGTGTTTTACAGGATGCTGCCTTGCATATTTACAGCCGTCCAGGAGCCGCTGCCATCGCCGCGTCCTCTAAGATGTGATGCCTTAAATTTCAAGCGAGCAAATGCACTTGCGTCATAACTGACCACTACTGAAATGGAACAATATTAGATCCATCAGGAAAGGCTCAAAATAGAAGTAATCTGGCTTTTACTGTTGTGGCTAATTGGTTTTGATTCATTTTTTCCAAGCAATTTATTTCTCTAAATTGTCAGCACTTAAATTTTTCTGAAAGCTTTTGAGCTGCACCACAACCAGGCTGCAATAAAGTCACCATGATAATACTGCTTTTTTTTTTTTTTTTTTTTTTTTTTTTAAATAAGCTTTGAGTAGTAACTGTTTGCTTAGACCACCTGAGTTTAACAGGCACTTAAGAGCATTTCATTTCATTTTGATTTGATTGCATCAAGCTAATTAACCAAACCAGCCTCCAGTAATTCCTCACATTGTATGTACTACTAAGCTATGATGCTTGAAATTTTAAAAAAGCGTTGCAAGTTTGAAAGAAATCTGCATTAAGGATGATACTTGGTATCTGCTTTAATGATGAGTCTCAATTTAAGCTGGTAAAACCTCTGGATTTGTCATGAACCACAGGTTTGCTGCTGCTTTATTTCCCAGAATGAGCAATGATCTGTTGTGGGTTTGTCTGTTTGTTTGTCTTCTTTCCTCATGTTTGACTGAACCACTGGTGAGTGTTATCATTGTGGGTATGCGGTGATGAGCAAGTTAAAAGATTTAATGTTAACTAAAACAGTCGTTTGTGCCTTTTTTTTTTTTTTATATACAAAAACTACCACTAACATGGATTTAACCTTCATCCTTAACAACCCAGGTTTGTTTCTGTTTAGTGTGGGGTTTATTTGATTTTTGATGGTGTGGTGTTTTGTTTTGTTTTTTTGGGGGGGGGGGCTGTAATTGCTTTACCCTAAAACTGTCTTTCTGCACGTTTTTAGATTGGTACATAAGAATTCTGACGTTCTTCAGTCAAGTGGGAAACTTAATAAAATAAATCTGACCTTTAAGAGTAATGCAACTTCAAGCATGTAATGATGAAAAGTAACTGTCTAAATTAAATCTCACTGTTCTGAATTGCTTGTGTGAACTTTCTGCTGATCTGAATGTGACTGATTTCTTTTATTAATGTCTGTACTGGAAAATATTTCTCATCTGTTCTGTGCTTATATTGAATGAATTTGTAATTAAAAGTTCATCCATCTTCCTTTGTCTCCTGTACTTTTTCAAAGAAACTATCATGATTGATTTTACGAAAACAATCCTCTCAACTTGTCTGAACGTAGCACGTTTTCACTGGTTCCTTTATTTGCAGCATGTTTTAAAAGCAATAGAGGTTCTCTGCTCAAGCTGTACGTGTCATATCTGCAAGTTGTGGAAGAATGAATCCTGGCTGTAAGGTTTCAGCGCAGGGGTGTGTCTGGAGGTAGGGCATGAGTTCACACAAATAGTATTATAATTTGTATGTTAAAATTTAGATTTGGTTTTTTTATTTTTATTTTTTTATTAAGAGGACTTTAAGGTTATAGTACAGAGTTGTTTACTTTGATTAAACAAACATTATGTAGCAGTTGGTAATTGATAAGAGGTTAATTTTCAACCAGAAAGTCACTGGAGACCTTGATGGATTTAGGGGAAACTTTAATGAATTTTTAAAATGAAACCTATCCCTTTACCTCCCTTTTTGCCATAACATGGTGAAGTTGCAATAACCAGTCATTTTGAAAACAGTCCATGTACTCTGTAAGTCAAACCCTCACAAATATGACATCACTGTTTCCACCTCTGCAATCCAAAGGCACTGAGCCCAGCCCTGTCAAGACGCTGCAGGTAACACAATTATAAGTGTTCAAACAGTCTAGAAGTGAAGAATTGATTATATAAAAAGAATAGTCTAATCCCTTCTCCCATTATACTTTTTCTCCCTGGGTAACAGGGCTGTATCTTCTATGTTCTTTGCCCTTATTTCAAATATGAGGGTGTAGTACAGCTCTGGATTGTCTGCTGAGAAAACAGAGCTGTACTTTGTTTAGATTGTGATTATGTGTAGCAGCTTTACTGAAGAATATGTTACGGAGCCCCCCAGGGGACATGGGAGAAAAAAAAATTAGGGAGGAAAAAAAAAAA